TTGATGAAAAATGACATTTTTATGGTGTGACATAACGGAAGAAACAGGAATAAGCTACAATAACTCCTCTAAAATGCCATAGAATCAGCTTTATCATACACCATTTTGAAGATAATAAAGTACTCTTCAAAATGATACATAAATTGTTCAACTTGGTCCACGTTAAATACCCAAAAATGTAGTCAAAATCACTTTTAAGAGAAAAAACGTGAAACTGTGATTTCTTGCTCAAAGCTCTTATAACTCGGAGACAAATCGATCAATTTGGACAGGTCAGGTTTCAAATCAAAGGTAATTTTGTATACTCACTTTGTAACACAAAATATTCTGAGGCATTGAAGCAGGAACGAAAAATTTTTCATCATGAAGATGAAAAGAATTGAAAATTCCAAAACGTGACATGCTAAAATCACTATATGATTGTTCATAACAAATTACCTACTGGATAAAATAACTAATATGACGGATCAAATTGAAGATCTCGAAGAGACCTTTAATATTACTTATGATTCATCCCCGTTTATAGAGATTAAAACCATGACAATTGATTAAATATGTCGTTTTTCCGGTGTGACATAATTAAAGAAACGGTAATAATCCACGATAACTCCGCAAAGTTCCTATAGAATCGCAATTATGAGAGACTATTTTGAATATTATAGAATACTCTTGCAAACGATTGACAAATATTTCAACCTAGTCCACCTAGAAGTACGAAAAAATACTGCCATAGCTAATTTCTCACATGAAAGGTGAAAACTCAATTTCCGCCTAAAATTCGCATAAGTCAATGGGGAATCGATAGAATTGGATGAACCAGGTGTCAAATTGAAGCTTATTTAATAAGCTTTCAAATGAGTATACCCTATGTATAATTCATTGGGAGTGGAGGTAAGAAATAACGTAAAAATCAAACAAAAACCAGGGTTACGGACACGGATTATTCTAAAGGGGATTCGTTTCGATGATACCTACCTCGAGGCATGGAAATTTAATCACCTTAGTCGTCACAGATAGCCTGCTTTTTAACTAAAACTGATTTTGTATGATTTTTTTCATCGATTTACAAGTTGATGAATTTTATATAAATTTACCGACGGGGACATTTACTTTTTGTAGAATTGATTGGCATAATTTTTTGAGGTTTTAAATCGTCTATTTTAGTCCATTTATCATCTTTAAGAACACATGCATTGTAATGGCCTATCGCGTGAGGGCTGACAATCTCCGGATTTATAAAATTGACGATTCCATAAATGCGGAATTTATCTGTGTGTGGGAAATGTGCAGTTTGCGCCCCGCGTGATGAAAAAGAAATTGTTTTCGAATCAGCAGGCTTTTTTTATGACATTGTTTTTCGGTGACATTTTTTAAAAAAGAATTTGCACACATACATTCGGGAGCATACTACCAATGGAATTGGTAGAAATGAAAAGAAGAAAAAGAGTTGTAACACATAAAAAAACCGTCAGACGGGCTCTATCAAAAAGGCGCGAACCCCTGCTTGTTTTCAATTGCTAATTAGTCAAAACTCGGATTTTTAGAAAATCTGAAATTATTGTTTGTCGTCGTATTAGTTCGGTGATCATTAATTTTTTCAGTGAGACAACTCTTGAAAATGACTGAAAATTGCTATTGGTCGTACAATCATCCCCCAAATAAGTGAATATTCAATTAAATATTGACAAATGGTGGAAGTTGGACTCATAATAACTTCTGTTACTCATTTTCAGTATCATTATTTGAGTAAAAAAACATTATTTCTCTTATTTTACAATGGAAATACATTTGTCATATAGCTTTCATTTGTTGGTAATCGAGAGGTCAATGGAATATGCAGTCATTTGCGGGATAATTGGATAAATAACAGCTATTTTTGATCATTGTCAATACTTGTGTCATTGAAAAAATTAATAACCGTCGACCCATGGCGAAAGAGAAACTCTAATTGGTGCCAAAGTTCCTCTCTTTTTATCGACAATTTTTGTTAAAAATTTCCGATTCTAAGAAAATGAAGTTTTTGAGTAGTTAACGATAGAAAAAAATAATAATTCTCGGATAGACTCCGTCAGACTGACGATAATTCAATGTATAACGGTTTTTCAGGTGCTTTGAGCATCCCAAAGGGCGATTTAACAGCTTAAAACAGCGCTGAAATATTGGAGCCTATTTGGAACAAATGAAAATTTTCGAAAAAAACTCTGAATCTTCAAAAACAATCATTACTCCGCCAATTATCAATATTTTGCAAAATTTTTGTCCAATTGCGATATTTTCAAAAATAAAATGAGATGAAATCCCCACCATCGACTTTTTCGGCCTGCTGACTTGGCGTGGATCTGCTTCTATTGAATTAATTACATTCCTCAATCTAATTGAAGAGATTCCCTTTTATGTGACATTTCATATCATTATTCAGTGGAAACCACGAGAAGGTGGTGAGGAATTTTCCACCGGGGAAGGGAGGATGGAGGAAGGGGAAAGGGGGGGGTTGTAAGTGGAGGCGGGGGCTTCTTTACAATTTTATTTTTTCATCGCTGTTTTCGACACGAGAATTGTATCATTTGATGTAACGTGATACAACTGACACCGAAATAAATAGATTAGTCTTCGCTGGGATTCTTAGAACCAGGAAGTTGTTGAGCATTACTATAAAAAGTGAAATTTACAACGAAAATAACATTGAAGCATCCAAATTGCTTGAACAAGGTGGGAAAATAAGACAGTTGGTCATGTAACATCTTATGGGACATTCTCATCGACAACAATGTGAATAGATATTTTAGGTCATTAGATGCGATAAACCGCAGTTGTCGCTTCGCTCGTTAAGGTCACGGTTTTCGGGCCCAATGACCTACAATATTGTATGTCATACGGCGATAAAAGTATTATATAGTCACATCCTTCAGGTAATGCTGTTATCGCCTGATGACAATGTACGATGTCTTCATCGAAATGTCAGCCAGTGAATTTCACCATTCGACCTCACGTGATACAACCACTAACGGTAGGCAAGTGATAATAATTTCTTATGAATCAAATTCAAACAATCCGCTTATCGACTTTCAATATGGTCTCGTGGTGCAATTCTGTTGATCTGAATCTATAATTTACCGAATATTAATACCCAAATACCAACTTCCAAATATGTTGAATATTTGTCTTAAAACTAATTGCACACAAAGGAACTTGTCTGAAAATTATTTGCTACAAAGTTTCGTTACTCCGAATTGAATAAATTGGATATTCATTTATAATTTTTCATATATATCCAATTAATTCAAATTTAAGAGGAACATTTTGTGGCAGTATTTTTCGGGCGTGTGTTATGGCCAAAAGCAACGGGAGAAGCAATTGATATAATTGTTGATATGATAGTTCACCAAGGGTTGGGTTCCAAAATTATACATTGATGAACAAAAATCAAGATACTAATATGTGATATTGAAAAATTAATGTACAGAATAGTAAAAAAAATGTGTCTATTTTTGACGAGAGTTCGAGTGCTGTGCTGTAACTGGCCGAAACCCAGGTTCGAAAAATGTGCTGTAAATACCATTTGAGCTTGGAAACGAATTGAAAATCTATCTCAAAGTTCTCTCCAGAAGAATATTCACATAAAAATTCTTTCATTTCGAAGCTCATCGGGCATTGTACTAGGTAATATAGATATTTTACACTCAACATTGAGAAAAAAATTGCTTTGGCCAAGTTTATTTACTTGCCACAAATGAATGTATATAAATATCTACATAAGACATGTGCGAATTTTTTTGCAGTGAGTAAATGTCCTTGGCTAAAGGATTTTTTTTTCTCAGTAAAGATAAGCAAAATCATTCAAAACAAAATTTTCTATACACGCAAGTTTAAAAAATTCTNATAAATGTCCTTGGCCAAAGGATTTTTTTTCTCAGTAAAGATAAGTAAAATCATTCAAAACAAAATTTTCTATACACGCAAGTTTAAAAAATTCTACTTCAATTTCAAATCCGTACGTCAAGAGTTATTAGTGGAAAATTCCAGTACAGATTCATTATAAGGATTTCACGAAAATATGAAACTGGTGCATGGTTCGTTATGAGTCGAAAAGTGGCGTATTTCAAGAAGCAACGAGTCAAGCCAACATTTGACATTTGACATTTGAATGAAGCCGAAAAATCCACCTGAATGAAGCCGAAAAAACTACTCGAGTTAAGCCGAAGTCGACCGAAATCGAGTCGAAAAATTGACTTGAATCAGACCGATATGCCGGTTTGCATCCGTCCGAGTGAAGCTGGGTTCAGGACGACTCTTTTTGGGGGTAATCTGTTGAAAAATTAATTTATAAAATAAGTTTGCCCTAATTTTTTTCGGCAACCACTCATTAGGATAGAAAAATTTAGGAAATACACTGTATATTTATGCGTGCAACTTCAGCTTGTGTATAACGATCCATATGACGAGCGAAATGCAAGCTTTCCGCTTTGTCATTGGTGACGAAATAGCTTCAGCTTAGGATTTTGCTTTGCGCCATCGTCCAACTTTTTCTTTCCCTTTGCCTTGGGGGCATTGCGAATGTCTTTGGACATCCAACCGAGATTATAGAAAACTACTGTTGTACTCAATAATTTGATGCAATATTCGCGATGCAACCCACAACGTTTGGAAACCGAAAACTATTCACAATAATTAGAATGAAGCCATTGCTCGAAGATGGTACGGAAACGGACTTGAAGCTTTTTTTTGTGGATAACTGATTTAATATAATCTTCAAAAATTTTGAAACCCGCGGAAATAACATGATTGAAATCGGTTGTCGGTGCAATTATTTTCCCAAAATCTCCCCCTTCGCGACTGGCATAGGCTCTACAGAAAATAAGAGTTTCGTTGGGCAACTCCAGGTTTTGACTCGATTTCGTCATGAACGATCGGCAATCTTCACATGCGTATTTCTTGAAACAACTCTTGGCGATGGATCCTGACACATAACGTATGGAAGACTCGAAGTGATGCTTTTTCACCCGAACTTTGAACCTCAGCCATAGTCAGCTCAATGGGCTCAAACGCAAAATTTCCCTCGGTATCATCTACAAGCCGCGATGTGTCATTCACCTCATTGCTATTGAGTAATGGATTGGCTGCCTCCTCACCCAATAAACAAGGTGTCTCATCTGCTTCGCAATTCGCACCCTGAGGGGGTGAAATAGGGCCCTTTAGGAATATGGATCGTTGCACACAAAATCTGATTTGTCTTGCGGATGGATTAGTATTATTACCGAATTGACTACGCCAATCTCCAAATTCATTCTCTACTGTATCTTGATTTAGATTTCCAGTCAGAAGAAATTGTACACCTTCCTCGCGGAGATCTTTCCATAAAGCTAGAATGCTTCTGATCGTCAATGGAAAATTGTTAAAGGTAGGAGGTTTGGTACCGTCGCCTCTGATTTGCAACTCAGGTAGCCAAAGTAGAGCTTCATTTAAAATTTCCTCTACACGGGAATCGTCCACTGATAATCCGCGGGAGAAAGGGTTAGATCCTTTGTGGGACCGTGAGGCAATCGAAGATCACATTCATTTTTTCCGCGAAATTCGCAGTTGCAAGCCACGATTCATGCTTCAATAGTAGATGTATGAGGCCGGGTCTGGCTCAACCGTTTTGGGAAGGGTCAGAAGGGTCTGCCTGAGGGTGTCCCGCGAGTGGGTGGTAGGTGGCCGATTAATTGGAGGTTTCAATTCGCGGTTTCAATTTAATTCGGGGTTTTAATTCGCGATTTTAGTTCGCGGATTTTTTAGTGCAACGCTGTGGGAAGAGTACCCTGCGAGGGTGGGATTAATTAATTCGCGTTTTAATTCACGGTTTTGATTCGCGTTTTAATTCACGGTTTTTATTCGCGTTTTAATTCACGGTTTTAATTCGCGTGGGGGGGGGGTCATGGCTTTTAACATTCTTGAGATTGTATCAGAGATAAGAAGGGTTAAGTGCAAAAAGTCATAAATCATTTTTTTGTACAATTCATGGAAAAGAGAAAGTGTCACATTCCTGAGATAAGGAGAATGAGTCATCACAGCAAGGGTTAAGTGCAAAAGGTCATACATCATTTTTTGTACAATTCCTGGAAAGGAGAAAGTGTGACATTCCTCAGATAAGAAGAATGCGTCGTCACAGCAGGGATTAAGAGCAATTCCAGGAAATGTTGAGAAAACATTTTATGCAGGGTTGAGGGAAACTTTCACTTTTTTAAAGGATCCCCCTCACCCTTATTCTATGGGAAAAAACTGTGAAGGAGTGGGGGAAAGGGGGGGGGGTTATATAACACTCCAAGTTCAGGGGTATAGCATCAGTTTGTATTTTTCCGCTCCTCATGAAGAAGAAGTACTCCATCCGACGACAACAGGCTTTGAATATACCTCAACAGCGTGAGTTGAAACATAGACTTGAGCGTCTGCTGAAGGATATCGATCAATTGAAAAGGTTCATTCAGTTGAAAAGTGACATTGAAGTGTTGTGCTCAGATTTCCAGAAGACCAAAATCGCAAAATCAACAGCATGAACTTTGAGAAATTCAACAGCGTCTCAAAGAGGGAGAATCTTCCTCTGAGGAAAATGGCAGAATTAGAGCCAGAAAAAGTCTACGTCATCACCGCCGTTCAGAAGGCAAAAACTAAATTCGGGGAAAGTATAATTTTCTATTTGGATGGGGAGCATGCAGTCTTCGCGACGAAAAGAGCAGCCAATTATTTCAATACTGAACCGGACGAATGGGAAAATTTCCAGGCACTCGTTTCAGAGGGTAAAATGGAGCTGAAATTCCTGGGTAGACAATATAATGACTTTATTCTTGGTCAGTTCTTAAAACCAGCAGCTGCAGATGAGGAAGCTTAACTTACTTGAGGATGGATAAAATAAATACACAATATTTTCATTTTATTTTTTTATTAATAAAAAATTTTTACTGAAAAATATTACAATGTACTGGTTAAAAAAATGAATAAATCTGATTTTTAATTGAAAATTGTGTTTTTTTTTCAAATATTTGAAGAATTATTACAATCCCCACAATCGCTCATCATCGGAGGTGGTCCATCAAAAGCATCATCATTGTTACTTGGGTAATGTTTCCAACAACGTCTGCATTTTGCAATCTCCCAGTCAGCTCTCATAGCATCAGTCAACTTGTCCCAAGCCTGATCAATACTGGATGCGGTGGTGAAACTCACGAATGAATGGGGCAGATATGCAATATCCTCAGGATCCATTAAATTCAAGTTCTTCAATTGATAGTAAATCTTGATAGATCGATCAGTCGATCGTACTATTCTTTTCTTCAGTATCCAGTTTTTGAGTTGTTCAACATTTTTTTGAGCACATACCTTGGGTTCATCCAAGTAACTATGGAAAGGACATGTACGATTCGGTAAATATTTGAAGTGAGGGAGTGAGGGGCAATCATCATAGCATTCTTCAATATTCACTACTAGCGGTGCTAATACAGGACCGGAAATTTTTTTCAACCACTCTTTTTTATTTTCACCTTTCACATAAATTTTACTTATATTTTCCCACTCTTGCACAAATTCTCCAATCTGATCATAGGATCTACCTCCGTAGTACCAAGAAAGTCCGTGATGATGACGCTCGAGCCACAGATTCATACTTCTATATTTTGCTGGTAAACTGGAGAATGCGAATGGGGGGTTGACAAAGCACACTGCCGGCTCCTTAGCTCCGGAATCCAAAACTGTGTATGCAAACTCTTTCACGATGAACTCGTTGAAGAGCATTTGAAAACCTTGTACATCCACGAGTAGCTCCATGGCGACTGATACTTTAGAACCTTCAACGATTCAATTTATACACTTACTCCACCAATTTTAAATAATTTTTCTCACCCCACCACTTATGGGGTGATAATTCACCACTCGATCATGCAAAATGAGGCAGTAAGCAGCAGTGCCCGTGGGAATACTTATTCTCATTTCAAATTCTAAACGGACATCCACCGGTCCAAATTTCAAAGATTCATTTTGTTTAGAACAATCAATCACCACTAGTGGGGTAATCGTTGAAAATAGTGCTTTACTTAATAAAGGGTTATTCACTTGGTGATCATAATATGTGGACGTCCGCATGAAAAGGGACCACTTTGTCGATTCTATTTTCCGAGATATTCACGTTTTTCTCTTGCCAACTCCCATTTAAACCCATGTTAAATTATTTTTTCGATCGTCTATAGCGTCGCCACTCTTTACGCTATCAAGTTCATTTTTGGCTCTAAATTTGCAGAATAATTNGATATTCACGTTTTTCTCTTGCCAACTCCCATTTAAACCCATGTTAAATTATTTTTTCGATCGTCTATAGCGTCGCCACTCTTTACGCTATCAAGTTCATTTTTGGCTCTAAATTTGCAGAATTAGATCAAGATTATCGGCATATACATAACTCTAATAGTGCCAAAGTGGTCCCTTTTCATGCGGATGTCCACATATGATGATTGAAATTTTGAATACATATAAAGTATAGAATACTGATTCTTAGCCATATCTACATCTATATTTCCATATGGATAACATTGGGAATTTAGGAATAATTTAACATCTGCAATACTGCAATGGTCAAAATTGCTAGCATTTTTCTTATCCTTATTTTTTCGTGCTGTTTGAAACCCCAGAATAACATAACGTGGTTTCTCGATCTGCGTTGCAGTTTTCACCGTCCACACATGTTTTGTTGTCTCTGGAAGCATTGGATACTCATATAACTCCCACGATCTGAAGCTCATTGATATTGCAGGATCCTTCTGGATGAAATTCAGCAACTCAATTTTTTTAGTATTCGATAATGTCACATATGGGACCAGCCACTCGATTTTGCTTAATGTTATTTTAAAATCTTCCGCATCTGTTTGAACCGTAGCATTATTATCAGTACGAGCTCTGATTAAAACGAGCTCATGTTTTACATTGGTTATAATTTTTCGATAATCTTCAGCAAATCCCAGCAGCATACTCAATGGAATGGAAATATCGAAGCAGCCACCATCGTCGACTAAACTCAATTTCTCTTGAACACCCAGCCAGCCAGCATTTTCCATCCAGAGGCTTTGATTTGGTGTTAATGAAACGAGATTTTTCATGAGAGTAGTTATACCCACATTTTTTACTTTATCAATCTCGATAGCATTAATTTCATAGCGAATCTCTTGAAATAGATGACAGATGGCATTATTCACAAATTTCGTAAGTGTCACCCTTGTGTTATCAGATTTTAGCAGTTTACCAGTAATGTGCATATGACTTTTGCTCGGTAAAATACAGAGATCCTGATTTTGCACAGTGATGCGAATTTCGTCGCTATTATCAAGCCCTGTGGAGGCATATGGCTGATGCGCATGAATCTCATAGTGAGCGATGGATTCTTCAAACACCGGCGGGGTTCTGATATTCAGGCTTTCTTCCATGGTATCCAATAAGTGAATAAAATTTTTATCTGACAAAAACGTTTTTTCCTCTTTTTTTCACGTCCAGGCCGAGACTCTTGAGGAACTTCACGTTCTGAGGTGATAGCACCTTGGAGCCAGCGTGAGAACTGATTGATGCGATCCATGGCTGGTTATTTTTATAGGAATAGCCAATCTTGCGATTATATACAATACCCATGGCTACGAAATGGTCTTGATGTGTAGCCTGATGATTTTTTCACCCCTAAAATTCACCAAGTCACCGTCTTGATCGACCATTCGGAGCTGTAACTCAGCTATTGTTCTGACAGACACTGGTAAATAAATAACTTGTGATGGTACTTCTATGATTTTATATCCAGGTGACACCACTGGAAAAAATTCATGAATTGTATGAACTTTATCACTATTGTTGGACGCTCCCGTAGTGATATTACATTCGACTCGTAAGGTATTCACTTTGAGAATGGCCACAGGCTGATCAGATTCATGAGTTTTATTTGCTTCCAAAACTCGAGGGGTGAAACCCAGAAGTCGACCTATCGAATTTCGAGGTCTCAAGTCCAATTTTTTATTACAAAACAATTCACTTCGCAGAGTATTATTATTGCTTTTGATATTTATAGCAATATCACTTTTTTCCACACTTTTCACAATAAATTTTGCAATGTCATCAATTTCATAACTCCCCGTTGGAATAGTGATAACTGTGTCTCCTATGTGTAATTTATTATTGCTCGTTTCGACGTTCGGGATGGAATTGAAAGTCAAAAATTCCACTAGGCTGAGAACATAATTTTTCTCAGGTGAAAGTTCAATTGGTGGAAAATATTGCACTTCCA